CCAGCACACTATATTTTGTTTTCGTGCTTTCTTTTTTTCTACTTTCCCGGGACTGATATGTGTCCGGTCGTCAGCTCTCGAGCGCGGGCATGCTGGGTTCAATCGTAGGCTGATTCTCGACTACGCGCGCAACGAGCCGCGCGCATTGGAGAGATCACTCTGCGGTTCATTCCAGCGGTCCGAAGCACGGGGATCCTTCGCTCGCTATCGGCTGACAGTGGTCCTGCTTTCGGAACATCCTCCTGCTATCTCCAGAGATGACCCCGGTGTGGTGCTAGCTTTGATCGCTGTTTTAATAGGAAAATCGGCCGCGTATCGTCATGATCTAGAGATTTCTAGGATGCTTAGAGCCAGCAGAGCTCACAGAGGCCGTATACGGCTTTTGCTCACTGCCAAGTTACGCTGAAACTACAGTGGCTTAAAGGGGATAGTGTAGTTAGCGCGTAGCCTCCACCATGTATCGGGAACGGCCGCTCCTTGGAAGACGGTGTAGGTGGCGCTTCGATCCGCAGCTCCGTTAGGGTGCCTCCATCGGCCGGCGGATAGAGGCACCCTAGCACGCTTCATAACCAATATAAATACCTCGAAAACAATTATTTGTTCCCAGTGAACTTCCAACGACATGGTTTGTGTTTGAAGGCGAATAAAAATCTGAAACTAGCAGACGACAGTGTAGTCGACAGCTGCGAATCGGCCGGAGCTGGCCGGAGCCAAGCTGACCAAGCGGCCAAGCCGGAGCCATAGCCGGAACGACGGTGCTGCAAGCGGCAGCGCCACCTGCGGCCGTCCTCCAACGCTGTGCCGCTTCTACGGTTTTGTTCGTTACACTACCCCCTCTAAGCCACTGTACTGAAACGGAGTGGTGTATACACGCCACGGTGACAGACACGTGCGCGGTACTCCATTACAAGAAATCAAATCACTCGTATCCAATTGCTGTTTGTCATAATTTTGTAATAATTTGATTACATTTATTACGGAAGTAATCTCACGAGTCATCTGATTACTTTTGAAAGTACTGAAATTACTCGTAACTGCTACCAATTTTCCGTCCCCTTTCTACTGGAGCCCTTTGTCCCTACAAGTTTTCTACCAAGGAATCCTCGAACCAATCCTCCGGCAGGAAAATAGTTTAGCAAATTTGGTGGGTTATGAAGATAAGTCGTCTTTAATACGGTGGTTGTAATTCAATACAGAGATGTATCGTTAATAAAAACACCTCTGATCCTCCTCCCCCTTCCCTCCTTTCCCCACAAAATCGTCCATAATGTAAGTTGTCCATAATTACGAGACAAAAAAAAAAAATGCACGCATTTTCGCAGTTTGTTCCCGAAAATGGTGTTCATAAAGCGGGGGTATCCATAGCAACGGTGCCCATATAAACGAGACATGACTGTACCGGACAGTACGAGAAAGACCCGTTTTCAAATCGGCAGAAACTCTGTCGCTTTGAAATTATAAAGTGATCGGAGAGGTAACAAGGTTACTTTTTCAAGTAATGGCCGATTACTTTCCGTCTCGAGTAATCAATCACCGAGTAACCCAATTGAACGCTTTTTTTTAACCGAGAGTAAATGTAATTGTAATCGATTACTTTTTTTTTGAGTAACCCGCACAAAGGTCACCTCGGAAACTACATATGATAGTGCAGGTCTTCCTTTACAAATACCTGCGTATACATCAACGCTCTGTTCACACTCGAGCGCGTTTCTTTAGCTCAACGCTATTTCATGTTGTGCCTTTCGCCGCCCGTCGTTTTTCGCAATTAAATTATATTTATTCCTAGTTTCGATGATAATGTCATTATGGGACGCGTTGGAAATGGTCCCATTATTTTCATTAAAATGCGAAGGATAGCCTTCCTTCATTACCTGAGTACATTCCTGACCGCAACGCTATCCTCCCCGCTCCACGAAACATCACGCACGAGCTAATGTCTACCATACAAAGCGCGTAAGGTGTAACCACGGAACCAAACAGACCCCGTGAAACACCCGTTGCATTCTAGCGCCAAAGTTAGACAATTAGAAAAGAACCGCCATAGCCAGTCCGCAAAGTGTGAGAAGGCTTCCTCATAGATTGATAGAAATCGTTTCCCAAAACGAACAGCGTACACGATTCCTTGTGACTTTCTATTTATATATGGAAACAAAGGTAGTTTCCCGGCCCTTGTTGGTGTGCTGTATAGAAGCGTCCAGGTACGAAGAAAGAGGGAGTAAAACAACATTGATGAAGAAACGTGACTTGCTGTTATGTTTATGTTTATTTTATTTATTGATGCTGGCCAACAGCCACATGCCTTCCCGGTGGTGCACCATCTGCCTCTTCTCTCTCTTTCACACAAGCACGCACAAAAAAAGAAAAATACAGAAAACAAAATCACATATCCTATTATAGTTTTGACATTACTAAGTATTTTAAAAGCTTAGAGGAATCAATATGTCATTAAAGTCATTTGCGCCACGAATGGCGAATAAAGCGTCTCTGAACGCTTTTAATACGCTTAGATTTTGAAGAATTAAGTTAAATCAAGGCAGTAGAACCAAATTCCAATTTTGAGCAAACAAAAAAAATTATAAAGATAATTCCTTTCCTGCAAACCGAACTTTTTTTTTTCTTTTTCATCATTGCGGCCTTAAGCTGGGAACGTTCTGTTTCGTTTTTCGCTGCCTTGATGTTTGTTTAACTGAGTTATTTTCTTTCAGACAAGTGACTGGCCGAAAGGTCAGTGGAACGAACGTTTCCTTTCCTCCAACCCTTTGTTTGCGCACGGTGGAACTGACCCCGCTATTCACCCGTCTCATTTTTTTCCCTCTCAACCATTCATTGAGCCAGCGACTAATCAGACATAAATGAATTGCTTCAGAAAAAGTCAAATCGTGATTTAACTCTAACGATCGTGTTATCCTCATCTATTTTCAGTCAGCGCACCTCGATATATTATTAGGTGCCAATACGGGCGGGCGGGGCTGTGGCTACGCCCCGCGTTTACGCACGTCCGTGATTGAATTACTTTCCTGGCGAGTCTTTAGAGCCCTGTGTATAACCGCCACAAAGTTCCGCGTGGGAATAACAGCGTTTAGTTCGCTTATCGAAGTTTCACACAAAAGAAAGATTCGACAACAAATAGTCACGCTTCTTCGCATATCCCATGAGCTTCGTAGATGCATATAGCCATCGTGTGGACACGTTTATGCTACAAGAGCAGTGTTGCGATGAATCTGCCTTTGGCCTAAATTATATAAAATATGCAACAAAATAAGGAACTGTTCATCTAAAAAAAAAAAAAAATGGACTGAGGGGCACAAAAGAGGGACGGCTGTACTGTCTGTCCCTGGGCCACTTAGTCTGATATTATAGTTATTCAAAGTATTAGTTCGTAACAGATCCCCGCCGACTCAACCACTTCCGATAGAAAAAAATAAATAAAATAAAACCCTTCGCTGCCAAAAATTTTATACTTGAGCGGTACCGCCTGCAAGCTGTCAAACAAGTTTGCTTCCGATCGGCGAAGTTAAAACGCGACACAAAGGAGGTTGTTTTTACCATGTCTGCCAGAACAGCTGGTTGAACTCATTATGGTGCGGCCACGTCAGGAAGCCATCATACGATTTGGTTTTGTTTCTGCACAACGTTTTCGCGACGCATCAGTGCACAGAGTCGGCAGTAGCCACAGACAGGGTTGTCCATGAACTGTGACCGAGGGTCGCCTATTAACTCTTGATTTTGTAGATAGAGTTTTCCGGGAGAAGGGAATAAATAAAAACACGGTTGACAATGAAGTGTGACCGAGGGCCACCATCAAGGCATGCCTCTCACACGTTGGGTAGATAGATTGTATTAGCCCTACGTAACGGGCGGTACCTTGCGCCACCTAGCCTAGCAAGCCTTTAACTTTTGGTCGAAATTCCGCTTCGCGATAAATTGTCTAACTCACAAATTTAGAGTAATATTAAACGTATTTAGATATTTCGCACCGATCTTTAAACCTTTTCTTTATGACTGTAATTATTTCTTTCTTCTATTCTTTCATCCCGGTGAAACCCGGTGCTCTCGCCATATCCGTTGCTCCACCAACAAGTGCAGGACGAGTGTCGCCTCCGTACGTACATATCATGAACGAAGAGTTGAAGTTTATCAACGATGAATAGCCTTTCTAAGTGCACACGACTCTGGTCATTGCGTATGTATGTCGCGTGTTCGCAGGACTCACTTGAATCCCATCTTACCAAGCAGGAACTGATCCCAAAGAGAGAAGTTCCCGCTACGTGTTATTATGGTGTAACGTTTTTTTTTTTTATTTTTAACAATAAGATGGCGTGTGTGCGTGTGCGAAACCGTTGTAACGTTGAAATTGTTCAATAAACACTAGTTGCCAGTTAGCGCCTGTTCTCTCGGAGTGTGTGTACCTCCGACTTCGAACCGTTCTCTTCGCATTTTTTTTTATTATGTCAGGACGAGGATTTGCGCATTTTAAAATCAGATGTACTAACGTCTCGCTCTGACCATGGCATACGTCTGTAAGTAGACTTTCCAGCCGTATGGTGCTTGGAGCGCGTCTCCGACTGGTGGATTTACCACGCCCTCAAAAGTGATCCCTCGATGTCCGCCTGACGACGTCATAAAAGTGTCCTACCGCGATTCTATAGCTGCTGTCACAACATCGCTCGTGGGTGCGCCAGATGCCTATTTCCTTGCAGGTCACGGGGCAGCCAGACAGCCAACGGAAACAAAAGCAGACACGGAATAGGACGCCACGACGACAGCGACCCTTAACGTCCGATCGCATTTCTCCGCCTTTCTCGCCGGAGTGTTTCTATGACCAACCGCCAGGATTGCGACATCCGACAGCCATGACACACCGACTCCCGCGACGCAACTTGTTGCCACTTCGGAACCCCTTTGGATGCATGGGCAGGATATAGGAGGGTAGAACACGACAGTCGTATATACGCGTTACAGGCACCTGCCGTGTTCGCCCGAAAGGGACGCGCACTCACCGACATGAAGATGGGTCGTCGGTACGGTGGTGGTTCCTGCGGCACTCTCGAAAAGCTTGCGCACCCGGTCGCTGACGGTCATGTGAGGCTCGTGCAGGAAGAAGGGCTCCGTCGCCTCCGTGCTCCTGGACAGGGGCGAGACGGACGTGGCCGAGGACGTCAGGCTGGACGTCTGTGCCGCTGTCGCCGATGTCGTCCTTCCGCAGGGAGACCTCTGCTGCTGCTGCAGGATCTGCTGCGGGGGTCTGGTCGACCTCGACGGACGACCCGAGGGCCGCGCGGGACCGGGACACGAGCACGACTGAGTCACCTGCGGCGGGAGAGACTCTATAGTGATCGCACGGCGATCGCTTCCCCAAAACCACCAAGATTAATGAAAGCCTGCGAACACCTTCCTCTATGGACCGTCATCGCAGTCGGATGGCGCCATCTCGGCAATTGGGCCCGAGTCTGACACCGAGCGTCGCACTCATTGAAAAAGAGGCCCAGCGGAACGCTGACACTGCGCTCGTGTCCAAGTTGTGCCTGTATCGGCTTTCACCGTGATCACGTCGAAATTCCAGTACGATTATTTCGGTTGGGCTCAGCTCGCCGGAAGAAACACGCGTGGGAAGTGTCACCGATGTGTTTGGCAAAGCACGCCACCGTCTGCGTTTGTGCGCCGATTAGATAAGACGGTTACCGTGAACATTAGCATATGGCAAGGCTCGCGGCTGCAGTTTTTAGGGCCCTCACCTGCCAACACCGGCTAAACGGAGGCTAAGCTGATTCGCCGACCTCAATATTATCTCCTGGATGACTGCCTGGCAGGAAAGCGTGAATGTGTCGAGTCGTCACGTTACGTTACCAGCCTCAGGGTGCGCCTATGATACGAGACTATACAATATGCACACACGTTTCCCAGTGGCCACGGAAGTGCGTTACGACTAAACAGAACGTAATAGGGTACAGGTTGGTACTGCTAACACGACGGACTCGCGGCGTCCTCCAAAGGGGGATCCAGAGAAAAAGGGAGGGGGGGGGGGGGGGGAGGGAGGTGCATGCACGGCTCGAACGGCTATAAGAATATGACTGGAGTGATCAGTATAGTCTAACCTGTACGTGACGTATAGCCGCCGGAGTTCGGTGTTGGAACGCGTTCGAAGAGACAAAGGTAACTAACTTCGCGTCTACCCTCTAATGAATGCAACCCGAGCTCGGTGTTCTGACGACCGCGCGCTCTTGTCTCCCCCTCTCCTTTAGTTTCTAGCCGAAATATAATGCTTGCCTGATAAGCTTGGCCTGCTTTTAGAAGCACTGTCTAGACCTGAGCAGTTTTAAAAGGAAGCCCGCTCAACCTGCGGCGGGCGAGTGCTTGAGACTCGACTTGACACGCCACGCCGTTCGTGCGCTGGCTTTGACAGTGCTGTCTTTCACACGGCTATAGCTAAGACTGTTTCTAACGTGCTGAACCTGAAGAAGAAGAAACACTACAACCAAAGTGCAATGAACGAAGGGTTGAGATGCCTCCTGCGTAACAGTACGCGCGTTTTCCGTGAGAGCTCACCTCCTTTGTGGTTCACAAGCTGAACAACAGGCTTTTCATAGTTCTAATAGGAGTTTCTACGGGCGTTTAGTTCGCGTCACTCACCTTTGCACGGCCAAAGGGCTACGCTGGCACTAGATCGCCGCTGCGTGACGACGTTGTTAGATGCCAGAATGATTTCCTCGTAAAAATTGACACTTGCTAGTTTGTTTTGCCATTTCGGTATACAAATAATCAATGCAGAGCTTTTCCAGCTTGGCGTCTACGCAGTCGCTCGATCGTTGAGCAGCATGTACTGGTTTCGGTATAATGTTATTACTGGCTCAAAATCATGGAAATCCTCGGTGGTTTAAACGCGGTTGCCTCCGGGAGGATGACATTTGCGACGACGTGCGCGCCCAGAAGTCCCGGTGGAATCGGTCTCTCCTTCGGTTTGTCATCATTTACAAATAACCAAACGCCGACTAGAAATGAAAGATTGAAGAGTAGAAAAAAAAAAAAAAAGGTTAGAAGCTAGTGAATGACTTTCATAAGTCAAATATGAAATAACGGACATACATACACACCGCGTGAACGGTGCGACGGTGTGTGTCTGCGTCCGTTGTGTCGGCGTTGAAGCATGGAAGGACAGAAAACGTGTGGAACACCAAGTTTGAAATATAATTTTATATTTTCTTGACGTTAACCGAAGTTTCACGTTACGTCAAGATGATGATGGTTCGAACGAGAGCGATGCGGGGATATTGTTTTATGTCTTTTAAACAAATCGGTCACTTTTCTGCGGCACCGATTATCTCCCAATGGCTGAAAGAGAAAGAGAGCGAGAGGAAGACCCGGACATTCACATGCCTTCACACACGCGCGCATGTATTAAGAAATAAAAACAATATCTACACTAAATGACAATGTTCTCCTATGCAGCACTAGAGAACAGAAATAACCTTGCCTACAATCGCTTCAATGGAAAATCCGCACTACTTCCTTCGGGTTAATTGGCGGGTGCTGGAAGAAGCGGCGCACAAGTCCGCAGAGCCGCGCGTATACGCGAGAGCGCGGCACCGTCGTCCCTGCACGTACCTGCCGGTGGTGTGCTCCGCGCTTGAGAGTGCCGTTGCCGGACTTGCCTTGCGTCACGTGGAGTTCCGGGTTGGACACGTGCCCGATAAGGACGGCCAGGCACTGCCGAAGAGCAAAGCAGAGGGGGAACGCGCTTCAGTCGACGAGGCATTGCACGGCGCCGCGGGCTGTCTGCAGTGTTCAAAGACAATGTCTCCGTCCCTGACCAGTGACGCCGTGGCCATTATCCGACTTGTTTTAATGTTTGCCGCTTTGTATTTGCGTACTTAAATATAGCATTTCGTCGACCTGAATTTTGCGCGCCACATCGATGCCGAATGCGAGATTAAAGGGATACTTCAACGAAATTTGAAATATTCCCGTCGTGTTCAAAAATAGGTTGAATATGATCCACAATATCCGTAAATGACAATCGCACGTTTGTATTTTGAGCCTGGTGGCTGTATTTTTCGTTATAAACGGCCCACTCTGGCAAGCGCTCGGAGAAGGCACAGCGGAGACCACGTGACATCCAACGCAATCGTGACGTAGGTCGTCTCAAGACGAGCAAAGCTACGGCGAGGCTGACGCCGAGAGGATGGCCTAGTCGTTCCAGCCACCGAAGCGGCTGCTTTTGTATGAATTTTGAGTGACGGGTTAATCTTCTGTAATCTTTTAGGGGGACAATAGCGACTTCTGCGACACACAAAAGGCATTCTCGGGAAGAGGGGAGTTCCTCCTGCCCCTCTTCTCTCGTCGTGGCCGGAGACGAGACAACCTCCGTCACTAGCTGTCAAGGTTCTTAGACGGGCATTACAAGCGAGGCGTTAGCGACATCCACCAGGTGCTCTTTGCTAATCGTTTAATTCGTTTTTAAAATTCCTTTTCGTGACTTTTTTAACAAGATATTGTTATGTTCGATGTGATGCTGCTCCTTTGAACACATATAAACCAAAAAATGAGCGCCGAAATTTCGTTGTAGTATCCCTTTAAAGTGTTACGGACACTGCGGTAAAAAAAAAAAAAAAAAAAAAAAGAACTAAAATTGATTTACTCCGGTCTGCTTTATCACGGACCACAGCGGAGGTCACGTGTGCAAGGACCGGGCAAGTGCCGAAAAAAGAGACAGGGACAGGAAGTTGACGTAAACAGCGCCAGTGTTTACATCCCACTTCTTGTCCCTGTCTCTTTTTTCGGCGCTTGTCTACGATCATGAACCAACTGGCCCAAATTTCCACATTAATACTCTCGTGGTGTCTTAAAAATGTTTCGTCCGGTCGCCACATTGCGAAGCAAACAAATCCCAAGGTAAACCTCAAAATAGCTATCGAAGTTTAGTTATGAGGCGTGTTCCCGATTATAGGTTTCCACCATTTCTTCGCAAAAACCTCCGCTATCTTTGTGCTTCGTTTGGTATCACCTACAGAACACGACATGCAATCACCTGATCACCACTCACGGGGCAGGGAATAAACGAAGCTCGTGTTCGCAAAATTTACTTTCACACTTGCTATTATTACTTTAATATCTGAAACGAACAATGCTGAAGTGAGTTTTAGAAGTTTCGCTTTAGAATGGTAAACACAAAACTGACGCATACCGCACGATATTTGTCATTTACTAGTCGAAACAAATAAATTCTTGAATTACATATTGATCCGAGAGTAATTCTAGCAATATGAAGAAGCGTGCTCTGGATCACACACACTAAGTTGGTTTACACAAGTTTAATTCTGTCGCTAAAATTTTGAGCGAAAGCAGCGAAGAGTTGTGTTTAAAATATCATGACTCAAGCTAAGAATTCGTGTCCGTCCGGGCAACGTGACGTCGGTGTTTCTCAACCACGCGGAATCTTTCTTGTGGCCTGTCTCCACAAGTTCGGGAAGGTACGGTGCAAGAGAGAAGAAGGCACGTGCAAAGATTCGGTGGCGCCATGCTGGCGTTTGTAATGTCACGAAGCATTTCTGCAGGATGTCTAGAAATGCTCGTGTGTATCATCTCTAAACGCGATTCATGCAGTTCTTTCACGAAATGTCAAGCATGAATGATCGGAACGGCTGCATTGTGTGGCTTCAAGTGGAATTTCTCGTTTGCACATTTGACTCGGGAAGGCTTTTGATAACAACAACAAAAAATGCTTCAGTATAGCGTTACCGAAATATTGTTACCGTTACCCCCATGCCGGAATCTGGCCGGAAGTGTACTGCAAGCAAAACGCTTTGTCATTGGAGGGTTTTCGAATAGAGGGCCCCACGCGCACGCGCAAAACTGAACATTGGGGCCCCCCTATTCTAAAACCTTGTGATAACGTCAGCTTTAACTGTTCTGGTTTTCCGAATGTGCGGTATAGACGCTTTCTGTTTCCCGTCGTTCTCAGTCGCGTGGGTTCCGTTTCTGGTATGCGGGACACAAAAAAAAAAAAAAATTAATCTGGAATATGCGAGGAAATTCGGATGAAGCAAAACAAGAATGTGTGGCCATCACGCATTTTTGTAAAAACCTTCCAGCGGCGTGGAGAAATCAAAACGATGTTTTACCGCATACCAGAAGCGACGACATTGAAGGTGGCTGCGTCCTTGTGGAAAAGGTGTATACCGTACAAGGTGTCGATTGGCTGCAACATTTTTGTTCGTGGCATGTTCCGGGCCGGTTTCCACCACGGAGATGACGGAACATTACGGCAACACTATTAAAATGACATCAAACAACCTCACAGACGGTGGAGGTCAGTTCGTTCCCCTACCTCTGCGTACGTTTCTACCCCGCACCTCCACTCCTTGTCAGGTTGTTTAATGCCCTCCTCACAATGGCGGTTGATTGATAGTGTCGAGAATGTCGCGGTGGTTGTCCAGTCGAAATCTCTGCCTCGGCAATTTTGTCGTCGTCTTTTTTTCCCTCCGCTTCTTCCCCGTCACAGCATGCTGAAACATTCCAACGAGCCGACCTGTTACCGGTGGCGCTTAGCGCGTAGGCGTTTATGTCTCCCCTTCCCGTAACGGTCGTTGTCGCTTGAGCCGAGTGCGACTGAAATATGCAACCAGGGAACCGAAACAATATCAAACCTTTTTGTTTCGGCGAACGCCGCTAGTTTTTACGCTCTCTATCGTAAAAATGGGAGGTACATAATATCCATGAAACCATCTATAAAGTAAGAAACGCGCTTAAATATTGATATTGAAATTTTTATCAGAGGCTTTCTAAGAATGCTGTAAATATGCTGCCATGCTCAGGCGTATTTTTTTTTACGCAATGGAAAGAGCTTTTATTGTTTCCGGCACTTAGTTGTTGCAGTATTTGACGTAATAAATATGCACTTGTTTTCTATAATGAAATCAACTTTTATATGAACGTACACAAGCCTTGCTCAATTATATACAATTTATTTTAAAAAGTAAAAGAACAAACAAAAAAAAAACAATGGTTCGTAAAAAAACAAAAAAAAAAAAAACAGTATCATGAACGTAAGCTCCCGTTTCGTGGCTTAATATTTTCTAGTTGCGTACGGCATGGTTCCAGCCAGAGTGAACTCTAACCGTTCAAGCATACAGCTTTTTCCATTTGCTGCCGTTGCTAGAAATGACCACCAAAATTCGCCACATACTTGCCCCTCGCCTAATTTGATTTTAAGTCATTTGAGTTCATACATACCATCATTATATTGGGCTCAAGGGAGGAGCTTTCCCATTTGAGAAAAACAGTAGATGTAACTTGTTAATCATGACCAGCCATTTACGTTCAAAGATATATTCTAAGTTAGGTCGACATTCACATACAAACACGTCGTTCCTGCTCTTATCATGCTTTGACGGCATAAGCGTTGTGGCAGTTTTTTTTCTTCTTCTTCTTTTCTTTACTTTCCTAATACGGCGTTCTGGAATCTTGGAAAAAATACGCGCTGATGCGACGGAAGTTGCATCTCAGCGCCATTCCGCGCAACCCCCCCCCCCCCCCCCCCCCCCGCCGACACTGGAGTTCTATATATGAGAAACATACATTATTGATTTACAATTAAATCTTTTCTTACTACAAGAAACAAGACAGATTAAAAAAAACCAGGTCCGCGGACCAGAAAAAAATATGTCGTATCCTAGACGTCACTAGAACATGTTCGCAGGTCCGCAGTAAGTCCGGCGGCCCCGGCGCTGAATCCCACGCTTACCATGAACGGAAGTGAGGATTGAGCAGTGCTGGCGGTAATGCGTTGCAAGTAACGTCGTTATCGGTAACGCGTTACTTTTTTCAGTAACGTACTCGTTACTTATACAAAACAGTAACGGGTAACGTACATACGTTACTTATTTCAAGTGACGGGCAACGTAGTTACATTACTCGTTACACCTCGTTACCCCGAAAACTGAAAAAAAAAAATACACAACTTTTTTCGTGTTTCTATAGTTATTTTCACCACAGTCCATACGCAGCCCACGCTACGAGCTGACAGGACCAATCAGGGAGCGTCAAAAGGGTACCATTATGGTGTTCCTCATGTTTCTGTGCGTGTTTTATCATCACTGAAGCAATCGTAAACAAAAAAGGGCCCAGTGAGTAGCACTCTTGAGGCTATTTGATAGCTCCCATTAGCTCGTAGCGTCGGCTGCATCTGACTTAAGCTGAAACAAAGTGTATGCGCCCGAGTCATTAATCATTTCATTCATCTTCAACATTTTGCTTGCCTTTTCTCCAATCAAAAAGCCCCACTTTAGAGAGACCCCAACGCTCACAGCCTTTGTTCCAGAGTAAAAAAAAAAAAAAAAGCTTTCGCAAAAAAAAAAAAAAAAAAGAAACGCTGTTATCGTTTATTTATTAATAAAAAGTGACGCAAAGTTGCGTGCGTTACTTTTTAACGGTAACGCGTTCCCTTTGTTTTGAGGTAACGTAGGTTGGTAAGGCGTTTCTTTATTTTGCAACGAGTAACGTATTTCGTTACTTATTTTTTTGGTAACGCGCCTAGAACACTGGGATTGAGAGACCGAGCTCGTAGCTTCGGTTGCTGGTTTCGTTGCACGTCCTAGCAAACAAGATAAGCACCTCTCAAAGTTGTGACTTTGCGGCTGGAGCTTTCGCTGCACCCCAAGCGTACTCCTTAACTAGGGAGCGCGTCTTTAGATGCACTGCAATTTTGA